GGCCGAAGTCTCGTTATCATAGGCCTGGATTGTGGAGCTTAAAGATCTTTTAACAATAATTATTTATTATCTCCATTTCTAATTAACTGAGTCTCAGAGAACGGAAGAAGTCAGTTACCTCGTTTAACAATTGGTTGTACCAGAGTGTCAAAGTCCGTGACAAAGTTCATCCCTAAGACTTGCTAGAGGCGGTCGTGTGGAAGTAAAACAGGGAAATTATCGACCTGGGAATTTAACACTGAAATTTTTTTAATTTACTTTTTATAATTCAGATTTATTCTTCCCACTTTCGTCTTTACATCTTTAAATTTTCACTGAGGCTGGTAGAGATAGTTCATTCCTATATTCACAGTATTTGAGAGGCTGAGACAGAAAGATTGCAAGTTCAAGGCCAGCCTGGGCAGCATAGCACATTTGAGGCCAGTCAGGGCAATATACTAGAAGACCTTGTCCCACTTACCCCCCCCAAAAAAAGAAACAAGAATTAATTAGACTAGAAGATTGGTACATTCTTAACTCCTATTAAAAACTTAGGTGGAGAAACTTCCTACCCAAAGGCTGCCTCTCCAACTGTTGCTCCTTCATAGGAATCTTAGATCCTCAAAAAATAGTAAGCAGTTATTTCTTGATCATAGTATAATCTTAGATTATACGCCCGAGCCCCAGACCAAAAGCATAGATTACTCTTGATATAACTCATTAAGTTCCTGTTATATGAGAGATATTTTGCCATCAGAAAAGAAATACAATGATTGGGAAAATCTCAACAGCCCAAAAGAAGGGGTATAATTCAAGTGGCCAGAGCAAATGGCAGCCTTTGCCCAAATATCTGAGAGAAATGGGAAATATAAAAAGTGGTTTGAGATCCTGGTATGATGGCACATGCCTGTAACTCCAGTACTAGGGAGGAAGTTCAATGCTGGCCTCTACCGCTGAGTTCAAGGCCAAACCAAAAGTACACAAGTCCCTGTCTCCAAAACAGGAACCAGACATGGTGACACATGCCTATAAGCCTAGCACCAGAAATACAGAGGAAGGAGGAGCTCTTCAAATTCAAATGGTCTATATAAGTGAGTTCTATGCCAGCTAGAGCTATGTAATAAGACCTGTCTAAAAACCGTAACAGGAAAAAAAATTAAAACTGTAACTTGAAACAGATTATGGTGTCACACATCTCTAATCCCATGACTTTATGTGTTAATGCAAGAAGATAGGAGTTCCAGACTAGCTTAGGCTGTGCACACTCTAGGGGTTCAGGCAACACTTAGGGAATGAACATCAAGAATCCAGAGCTATCCTTGGCTATGTTCCAGGCCATCGTGGTTTACATGAGACCCTGCCAGAGAGAGAAAGAGAGAGAGAGAGAGAGAGGCATTCCTAATACCACATACACTAAGTGTGGTGGCAGAAGCCTATAATCCCAGCACTTGCAAAGCACAAGAGAAGGTTTAGAAATTCAAGGTCATTCTTGGCTACATACGCAGTTGAAAGCCAACATGGGGCGTGGGGCAGGTCATCTACTTTCCAGTTTAAGACATCAATTTGAAAATTATTTGGTTTTGTTTGCTTTTGTTGAGGCAAGGTCTGTTGTTTCCAGGCTGGTCTTGAAGTCATCATGCAGCCAAGGATAACCTTGTTTCTACCACTCTTGTTTCGAGCTCCTAAAAGATGGGATTACAGATGTGGCCCTATATTGATGTGCCAGGTTGATGTTATTCTAGGGATTGAAACCAGGGCCTAGTACATTTTGAACAAGCATCCTACTGACTGAATTGTATCCATGGCCTCAAAATTTATTTATTTATTCATTTTCCAGTCTATAGTCAATGGTGAGTTTTTTTTTTTTTAGATTTGTCTCATTTTTAATTATATGTGTGTATCTGTGTTGCATACATACACATGAGTAAATGTGCCTGAGGAAGCCAAGAGGCATTGGATTCCCTCTGAAGCTAGAGTTAAGGGCAGTTATGAGACATCTGCTCTGGGTTCTGGGAACTGAAGTCTAGTCCTCCAAAAGAGCACTACTTGTTCTTAACTGCTGAGCAATCTTCTCAGCCCCACAATTAAAAAAAAAAAAAATAGAGGAATAGAGGAAGATACCGACTTGAGCCTTTGGTGTCCAGATGCACATTCCATACATATGCCTTGCATAGTTAAAATTGTACAAGTTGCATAAAACAAGAAATTGAATTCTTTCTTTTTCTTTTTTTTCTCTTTTTCTTTTCTTGTTTTTTCAAGACAGGGTTTCTCTGTATTGCTTTGGAGGTTGTTCTGGAACTCATTGGGTAGACCAGGATGGCCTCAAATTCACAGAGATCCACCTGCCTCTGCCTCCTGAGTGTGTGCACCACCACCGCCCGGCTAAGCAATGAATTCTAACCATTTATAATTAGAAAAATTTTAAATAACTCACAGGACAAAGAAGTAAAACAGGCCAGGTATTAATATGCATCTACATAGTATCCCCGCTAGTTGGAAAACTGACAACTGCAGAAGCATCACTTATGCCCAGCTCAAAAATCCAGCCGGGAAATATACCAAGATCTCATCTCAGAAAGAAATTAGAGACCAGAAAGAAGTCTCAGCAGTTAAGAGCACTGGCTGCTTTTTCAGAGGACCCAGGACTCAGCACCCATAGGACAGCTCACAACTGTCCAGAACTCTGGTTCCAGGGCACTAGTCACACACACGGTACACAAACACACATGAGGCAAATACCCACACACATAATTTGTGAAAAAATCTCTGTGAATTCAAGTCCATCCTGGTCCTGTATAGTGAGACACTATATGTATTAATGAGTGTAATTTTTTAAAATGAAGCCATGCCTAAGACCTTGGGGTTGCTTTTATTTTCTATATAAAGTTCATGGGTTCTTGACAAATTAAGGTGATGAAAAACGGGCTGAGACTGTAACTCAATGGTAGAGTGCTTACTTAGCGTATGTCAAGCCCTAAGTCAAATCCCAGCACCTCAAAAATAAAAGAAAGAAAGCAGGTCGTGGTTCATGCCTTTAATCCCAGCACTCAGGAGGCAGAGGCAGGATGATTTTGAGTTCAAGGCCAGCCTGGTCTATAGAGCCAAGTTCCAGGACAGCAAAGCTACACGGAGAAACCAAAAAAGAAAGAAAGAAAATAGTGCATGACAGAATCCATGAGAAAGCATTAAGCCTATATAAAAATAATTTTAGAGTCTTGGTGCATTTAGCATTTTAAAACTAAAGGCCGGGGAAGTGGGCTGGAGAGATGTTCAACAGCTAAGAGCACTTGGGTTCTTTAGAGGACCCAAGTTCCATTCCCACCACCCATATGGCAGCTCACAATTGTCTGTAACTCCAATCCCAGGAAATCCAACATTCTCATGACCTCTGCAAGTACCAGCCACACATGTGTTGCACAGGCATGCATACAGGCAAAATATTCATATACATTAAGTAAACAAACAAAGGCTGGGGATGTACCTCAGATGATAAAGGGCTTGCCTACCATGCATGATCCTAAACACCACATAAACTGAACACAGCAGTGCATGCCTGTAATCACAGCACTAAGGAGGCTGAGGCAGTACAATCAGGAATTGAAGGTCATCCTCAATTCTGTAGTTAGTTTAAGGTTAGGTACTGTCCCAATACATTTAATTAATTAAAACAAATAGCTAGAGAGATGGCTCAATCAATACAGTGCTTGCTATACAACAATTGATGGCTCAATCAATATAGTGATATATATATACATATATATTCATGCATACATAATACGAACCTGAGTTCAATCTCCAGCACCCACTTAAAAAGCTAGGAATGATGTCATGGGTTTGTAATGAAAGTTCTGGGGAAATATAGACAGCTGAATCTCTGAGGCTTACTGGCCAGCTAGTTTAAACAGTAAACCCCATTTCCCAGTGAAAAACTATTATGGGGTGCTGGAGCGATGGATTCGCAGTTAAGAGCACAGATTGCTCTTCCAGATGTCATGAGTTCAATTCTCACATGGTGGCTCACAGCAACCACCTATAGTGGAATCTGATACCCTCTTCTGGAATAAGGGCATACATGCAGATGGTATTCTCACGCAAGTAAAATAAATAATCTTTTTTTTAAAAAATTAAAAAAAAAAAAAA